ACACACACACACACACACACACACACACACAAAAGTGATATATTAGGCATGCATTAACTTTTATTGACAATATATTTTAACAATTATTTTAGAGCTCAGAATTGAGCACATGGCAACGGCGTGTAGCCGAATTAAGTGGTCGAGTGACAGAATTAGAAGAAACATTATCTAAAACTCAAAAAGACCTTCTAAAAACGCAAGAAACAAATGTTAAGCTGCAGAGAGATTTACGTGAAAATGTTGCCCAAAAAGAGGACCAAGAAGAGAGAATAGCGACTCTTGAAAAACGATATCTTAATGCTCAACGAGAATCCACCAGTTTGCATGATCTCAATGAAAAGCTGGAGCAAGAGCTGCAACATAAGAAAGCTCAATTAAAGGTAACTGTCCTTATATATATGAAATTCACAGTTTACGTCAGTTTAATATATTTTATATTTTTAATATTTTTTAGCTCCAAGAAGAAAAAATAGCGGCAATACAAGAAAAACTAGAACTTGCAGAACAAAAATTAGCCCAATATGCTAAACTACCAGAAATGGAAGAACAATTAAAACAGAGGATGGAGGCTCTGACGCAGGTGAGGAGGCCCAACCAGGTACGCAGAGGAATTAAGTCGTCGTATCATCAATTTATTCTTTTCTTATTCCTCTGCACTTCTATTGAAACTCCTCGCCTCCAAATATACCTATGTCTAGAATGCTTATCCCTAATTAGTCTCCTTCAATTTCATATTAAACATCTTGCAATGTTTCTCTGCTATATTCTTCATCATTGACTGTATTGCTACTGACATATTACACATACGATAAACATATTTTGGATTTTTTTTTATTTTCATCTAAGATTATGAAGTTAGTGAATATACCATAATAATCACGTTATTATAAAAATTAACATAAAAATAATTTAATTATTTTCAACTTAACACTACTACTGTACCAAATATGTAGCAATCAATGTGATTCTTTTCAGAGCTTATTATTAACTTGGTAGTTTAGTGCTACATTTCTGTATATATATCTGTTAGACACCTATATATTCTGTATATATATGTGTTAGACACCTATTTATTCTTCAATTTAATTCATTAGCTTTTCATGTTAGTTCTAAAAAATTTTATTTAAAATAAAGAACAGTTAAATAGATATTATTCATCTCTGATTAAATTTAATGTCTGCAGGCATTGATTTTAATTGTATGAAACATTTAATAAGCAGGCTCAAGAAAGACATGGCAGCGCAGAAGATAGAATACAAAGATTGGAAACACAACTTGAAGAAAAGAATGCAGAAGTGATGCGTGTCAATCAACGACTTAAAATGAATGAGGAACATAATACGCGACTTAGTACAACTGTTGATAAACTTTTGTCTGGTAATTTATATGTATATGTACATATAATAACAAATATATTCCTATGTTTATCTTACGTTTATATGTCTCATTTATTTATCAGTTTTGATTCATCTTTTTAGAATCTAACGAAAGATTGCAAGTGCATTTGAAAGAAAGAATGCATGCATTAGAAGAGAAAAACGCACTCACGCAAGAACTAGAGAAGACTAGGAAAATAGCGGAAGATCTTCAAAATGAAAAGGCTGACATAGTTAAAGAATTAGGAAAAGCTCGTTTAGAGATCGACAATGTGAAAAGACAAATGCTCCAACAGGAAATCGCGTTCAATATTCAACAAACAGATGCTCTAACTAGAAGTTTATCTCCAAATGCAGTGGACCCAGGTTCATTTTCTAGGAGTGCAAGTCATAGTAGTTTTGATACTCATTCTTTGCCAAGAAGAACGGGTAAACGATCTGCGATCGAAGAAGATCCATCAAAGGTAGTTTATGAAAGATTTTGGTATATAGAAACTTAAATGTATAATAGAAAACTACAAATAACATGTTCTTCTCAGAATTATGTAGCACGCACTTTAGCAGAACAGGAATGGGAAAAATTACAACAGGCTCATGTTCTCGCAAATGTGCAACAAGCATTTGATGTTTCCAGTGATGCAGAAGGTGATGGAGATAATGAAAGTCTATTCAGCTGTGCAGCTGATGTAATCAGTCCTACAGGACATACAGATGCTCAAACACTAGCATTAATGTTACAAGAACAGTTAGATGCAATAAATAATGAAATTAGATTAATTCAGGTAATTAAAAGTTATTTATTGTATATTTTATATGTCAATATGTCAAAGTGCACTTTTGATGAAGGAAGAAAAACAAAGTACCGAAGCGCGTGCTGAAGAGTTGGAGTCTCGGGTTGGTAGTTTAGAACACATGAATTTATTAGCAAGAGGACGAAGTCTCGAACGAGCATCTCCACCATTAAGTGGACGATCTACTCCAAAATCTCATCATAGTCCAAATAGAGATTATTTACATAAATATCATACTGTAAGCATCGTTTATTTTATAATTCCTAATCATTTAAAAATATTTTTTCAATATTTTTATCATCTTGAAGGCACCAGCGTCAATGTCTCCAGCACATCTCCATCAATATGCTGCTTCTTTAGCTAGTCCAGGTCAACTTTCAGAATCCCTTCCTGCAAGTCAGGTAAATAACAATAACCATAATTATTTTTGTTACTCTTTTGTTCGATACAGTTACGTAATATAAACGTTTCTTTGTAGTTGCAATTATCAGGCGAAGAATTGCATTCAGTAAGTGAAAGAGACAGTACTGGTGGTGCAGGAAGTGGTAGTGATGCCGCTTCACCATTAACTGCTCGATCGATTAGGCTAGAACGAGTAGCACAAGCACTTGCTCATAGTCAAGAGGAGCTTAGAAGGTATGTGTTTAATTTTCGTATTAACGGTGTATAAATTTTAATGATATTAACGAACATCGAATTTCTTTGTGGATCCTATGCTTGAATTATATAAACATTATCAGAACACTGATGATAATCTATTATCAACAACACTTTAGCAACCATATCTCTGACAATGAGGACTCTAAAGATTTTGTCTTTTCGTTTTCTTTTATTGGAAAACAATAAATTTTTCTTATATATGTTAGATATCATAAATATGCTATTTTACTCAATTGATTGATACTTAAATAATGGCACACGAATTATCAAAGTGGCAAAATTATCGAAATCCTTGCATATATAGAGGTAGGATTATCAAAGATCCAGTAATTACATTGTAAGTAGTTGGTATTGTGCATTGTTTATGCTGCCAGACGTACTGGACAAGCCGGATTTCCTACCAGTGGTTTTCCTGCTCACAGGTTAATTAAAGATTGTAGTACTGCATGTAATCCGCAACATATGCCGCTGTGCACGACATATTTGAGTGGCCTATGTGGGCATGAAATGAACAACTTTGAGGTCGACTTAAGTGACATCGATGGTAACAGATCCTTTTTATACTTGTTATCCCTGTTTTTCGAAAAAAGGATTTACTAAGATGATCTTAGGTCTCTTCCAAAAATTACTATAGGGATTGATAATTATAGATATTTTTGCATCGTACAATTTATTATGGATGTTTTCATTTTTTAATTATAATTAATCTTTTATCACAAGAAACATATAATCAATGAATAGTATGCAAGATGTCACATATCCATGCCTACAGCCCCAATTTTCGAACACAGTGGTATGGACGAACCGACTGATAGATCTGATAGAAATGAGTTCCTGGAAGAAACTGATATTAGCTTCTTCCATCCATCGTGCATTCAAGCCTGTCCAGTTCACGACAGACATCGCTGTCTCAAACAAACGAGGGAATTTAGACAGCCAAGAGAATTGCATCGAGTTAACGTCGCGTCCGAAACTCCTACGCGAATAAGGTTGTTTTTTTAAAGAACAGATACAAAGATATAGAAGGATCGAATATTGCACAGATGCATGTAGTATATACATAACAGTTTTATCAAAGATTATACAATTGTTTTAATAGAATTCATAAATAACGTGGTCTTTCTATATCTTTGCGTTTAAACAGTACTTGTTATGGCAATCCCATCTCATAAGCAGTGATCAGCTATATTTCCAGGTTTTTATGCCTTGCCTGTAATACTGAGTAGGTATTACAATTCTTTTTTCAATATTTTATTGGACATAGTTTATCATTTTGGACGTTCCTGGAAAAAAGTATTTTTTATTTTTTCATATCATATCATTTTTATACGTATAAGAAATTGAATTGTAATTTAATAATATTTTTCCATGAATTTCTAAAATCATTGATACTGCTTCATTTTTTCTTTAGTTTATTAGTTAATTATTTGTAGTAATTATCAGTTGTAGATATTTTGAATAGCACGAAATCAAAATTTAAATGCTTCAAGTCAACTGAGTATCATTTTCATTGAAAATAGATATTTTTGGGTAAAAAATCATACTGTATATATTGTTCAAAGCTAAATAATATTTGTATTTATGCCCACGTATAATCATGTATAAGTACAATCATATATCATCGCTAAAAAAAATCTAAGTAATGCAATTCACTTGGCTCAGTAAGTTCTCTGATCATATTTTATTTCATACAATTTAAAACATATTAAACATTAATCTATATGCTTTAAATATTAAAAAGTACAAAACTTTAGATAATTTAACAAATTTTATTGTCAATTTGGATTATTTGATATGATGATGTATATTTAAAAAGATTTGAAAATAATTGGAATAAATTCAGATCACAAAAGTGATGTAAGAAGTACATAGGTATAGAAAAATGTAGTCGGATAATGTGTGGGCTAGAATGCATTATTTAGAGTAGAAATAGAAACTAGATTAGCGCTCCATGCAGCAGGCATGGGCAACATAACAACGGCGCACTCAATTCTGGGACTCCCCCTTCCCCATTGTCCTCACGTCATAGCAGCCAGGACAGTTTGCATAAGAACAACTTGTCTGGTGTTGGATTGCCAATTGGACAACTGTCTAGCTCGCATTTGCACATGCAATCTACCATGAGTCCAGCAACAGCAGCAGCGGTGGCTGCAGCTCAAAAGAAGAAAGGCATTAAAAGCAGTCTTGGTAGATTTTTCAGCAAGAAAGAAAAGGTAATGCAGATTTCAGTTACATAGGATAATGAATAAAAAGTAAGTGAATAGAAACAAGTTTTGTTTATAGATCAAAGGAAAAGACACACCAATGCCTGGAGATATATCAGGTATGGGAGGAGCAAGCACACCTGCTGATCCTGATTATGGAGATAGTGTTTCTGTAGCTGGAACTATGGGCAGTAAAAGCGATTTTGACCGTAGAAAAAAGAAAAGGTATATATGTAATTGCTAATAATATATTTATGTTTTAAGTAGTTAACGAATATAATTGTATATGTTATAGTACTAATTTTCTTTTAGTCCAAGTATGTTTGGAAGTATGTTAGATTCCTCACGGCACGAACTTTTGGCGGAGGCAATGAAAGCTGGAACACCATTTGCTCTATGGAATGGGCCAACTGTGGTGGCTTGGCTTGAGCTGTGGGTGGGCATGCCAACTTGGTATGTTGCAGCTTGCCGGGCAAATGTCAAAAGTGGTGCTATAATGAGTGCTCTTAGTGATACCGAAATTCAACGTGAAATTGGTATAAGGTACAAAATTAAATTATTTAATATATTCTGTATTTTGGATGACAAATATTTATAGGATAAGACTATAGTATAAAGCTACTAATATTTAATATAATTTTTATTCTCAGTAATCCTCTGCATCGATTGAAATTACGATTAGCTATACAAGAAATGGTATCACTCACAAGTCCATCAGCACCAAAAACCTCTCGCACAACCTTAGCCTTTGGAGATATGAACCACGAATGGATTGGTAATGTTTGGCTACCAAGTCTTGGTTTACCACAATATCGATCCACTTTCATGGAGTGCCTTGTTGATGCTAGAATGTTGGATCACCTTACCAAAAAAGACCTTCGTGGTCAACTTAGGATGGTTGATAGCTTTCACAGGTAATAAATTATTAAAAATGAAATTAGTGTTTCGGTTTCTTTGATTTAATCTGAATTTTATTTATTTTTACAGAACAAGCTTGCAATATGGCATTTCGTGTTTAAAGCGATTAAATTATGATAGGCAACAATTAGAAGAAAGGAGACGAATGGCGGAAGGTGCCAACGTCGATGTTCTTGTATGGAGTAACGATCGTGTTATAAGATGGGTGCAATCTATCGGCCTGAAAGTAATTCCATTTTATTGTTTTATATTTTATAATTTATTCGTTCTGTAAAGCACAATTTTCATATATTCAGGAATACGGGAACAACCTCTTAGAATCTGGGGTACATGGTGCTCTTATAGCCCTTGATGAAAGTTTTGACGCCAATAGTTTTGCTTTAACGTTGCAAATTCCAACCCAAAACACACAAGTACGTTTTGACTTTATAAATATAATTAATTAATTAATAATAAATTAATTGATTTAAATTATATGTAATAATTTTTACTATTTTTTGTATTTGAACAGGCTCGGCAATTGTTAGAAATGGAGTTTACAAATTTATTAACTGTGGGAACAGAAAGGCGACTCGATGAATCGAATAGTATAAAATCCTGATCCAACTCGTCTAGCAGGCTGCCTCATATTCAACCACATCACGTCTAGTCCAAAACCCCAGCTATTACTACTTTCTGTATGCAAGTGTATTGTAAAAGTTGTAAGAGCCTTAAATATCACTCTAAGGGTATCTTCATACTAAGAGTTGTAATATGCGGTAGTATGAAAACACGATCAGGCATAAATTGTAAAAAAGAGGGTGACTAGTCGTATATTCAAGAAGAAAATTTAAAATATTCCATCAATTTTTATGTCACGTATATTTCATAAACCGCTTGTTACATACATCGGATAAAAAATGACAATTCTGAATTAATTACTCTCATATAGATACTGAAATGTAGTGAGCGGTCAGGAAATCATGAAACATGTATTTCCTCGAAAGCCAAAGAATCAATTGTAGGTAATTATATGACAATAATTCTGTCTAATTTTACCTTGATTTCTTAAGGGTAGTAAGACTTGTAGTTTTCAAAATGCAGTAGGACCTCGATAAACTAACTAAATAATCGGATATTCAGATAAATCGAATGAATAATTTAGATCTGAAGAGAAATAGATAGAAATACTTTTTGCGTACAAAATAAGATTTTTTTCATATAATTATAAACATGTATATTTTACGATATAAAAATGTAACTACTGATACGTAAACCTATATCTTTTTTCGATATAAAAACCATATTTATAATACTTTTTCAACATTTTCATGTTTTTTTCATAGTCATTTTGTTCAGATTCTATTCGCCTTTTTCTATTTTCTTACAAATAAATTCTTTTAGATTGATATCAAAAATAATCGATTTTACTGATTCGTCCCAATTTATCATTCGCTCAATTCCTTTTTTCATTGAAATAAGTATTTTTCTTTTACAACTCATTTTTACGGCTTAAATATTCACTTATTGTTAGTAATAATGATAATGACTTCGTAGAAAAGATAAAGCATTCGTAGAAAGCAATAAACTATTGAAGGAAAGAGTTTGTGGAAATGGACGAAAACGTTTGTTAGAAAACAATGAAAATGTCGGTTGATCAAGACTTCGGATAATCATAATCCGGTTGAGGTCCTATTATCATGGTAGGTTGTAAATTTTCAGGACATAATCGCATATTTCTTATACTATATTATGTACTTATATTGTATAATAGTTAAAACAACTATCTATTTTGATAATACTACTTACCGCACAAAACAAAAATTCCCAAAATTATATTAGTGCCATTGCTCTCGAGGAAATTATTTATGTACAAGAAAAAGACTGCATTCTATATTTCTGCATCTATAAGACAGTGACCTAATAAGCCATATATATAAAAGAACACACGCGTGCGCGCGCGCGCGCGCGCCACACACACACACACATACACACCCATACAAAATATACATATTATTTCATACAGAAGGAGCGCTGAAATATTTGTTCTCCTCTGTTATTTCGATGAATTTTAAATGTTTAGATCACATATAACACGTAATATATTAAAGAATTACACCGAAGCAACTATCGTAATTAGAAAATTATCAAGACAACCAGTTGCATGAACGTGTTTAAAAGAGCTCGCTTTTTATTTATCGTGAATTAAAAAAACGGACGTTTTATACCAAAATAATCGCGCAATGTATGTATGTGTACGAAGCGAAAGTAGATGTTATAAAATTAAGGAATTTTGTAATTTTAATTGATAATTGGTTTCCGTTGATCAATCATATACATCGTTATATCTTTATTTTGCATTCGTTGATTTGCTTAATCGTAAAGAAATATCTTATTTGGCTCGGTGGCATTTTTAATTCATTCAAAAGAATAATTTGATGTCGATAATTCATTTATAAGTATCTTTTATTGTTAGTATTTTGTTTTAAAGTTCCAGGAATGGTTATTAGTAAATTT